ATTTGACAGCCCTTTTTAGAAAGAGATCTCGAAATGTGTTTTCCAAACGTTTTTCGTCTCTAACACTAATTTTCAGCAGGAAACATTAACGGGACACTGATAAGTCAGAGTGCATGCCTGCGCTTGCTTACACATGGAAATCTGTACTACATGGCATGTGCGGTGATTACTATTGTAATCAGTTTGCCGTGTGTTTTGTGCACGCTACAGCGTTTGCGGGTTTGCCTTCTAAGGTGCCATATGGCCCCTAGTCGCTCGGACGATAATGATAACACGCTTACACTGCCCAGAAACACGCGCGCTATACACTACTCACTCTTTTAGTTTCATTAATGCTTTTCAAACGTTTGCGACAACAAAGGTGGCATTTCGTATTTTATTGCGGGGACGAGAAGGGGCGCTCGACGCAGCGCCGCCCCGCCACCCCTGCACGATCGCCGCGCCAACTCGGTCGGCAGCGAGAATGTTGATGACATTTCCGCCCCCTCCGCTGCCACCCCCTCCGCCCTTCCCAACCACCGCCGCAGAGTCCGGGCCGATGTGCGTAGCGGTGGGGCATGGTGGCCTTTTTCTTCCCACTTTTCCCCCTATATTTTTTATTTCCTTTCACCCGCCAAACTGCACAACGCTCTTCGCTCGTGACTCCCCCACCTCCCATCACCCTCAGCCCCCGCCGCTGCTGTGCGTGGCACGACCAACTATTGACAGGCGTCGGCCTCTCGCGCCTCGCTTCTCTGTGTTTTCGGCTCTCGTCTGTCTGTCTGCGAATGTTTTCTTTTCCTTAACTCCAGCTCTCAGACCTACACTGGATCCATCCTGGTCGCCGTCAACCCCTACAAGGAAGTGGAGATCTACTCGCCGGTAAGTCCAAATATACTTGTTAAATACTTAACGTAGTGGTAATGCACGAAGGCGGCCTCGTTGACGCGAGTAAAGTTCCAACGAGCCACGGATATAAGCCGGCAATTGAATGTTTATAGCGTCGAATATTGCATGGGGCTTATGGCGTGCGTGCGTCAGCTGCGCCGGCCGCCTCACGCGCGGGGCGGGGCTTATGGCGTGCGTGCGTCAGCTGCGCCGGCCGCCTCACGCGCGGGGCGGGCGCGGCCCCCAGGTGCCAGGCCCGGCCGGGCCCCAGGTGGCGCCCGCGAGCGGATTAACTAGAGTCTGCACGGGACCCCCCACCCCATCGGCGCTCCGCCAAATTGTCCACATGCATTACGGCAGAAAAATGAATGAGGCACCGTGCCGTACCGAGGGGATGGGCGACACCCTCTGGTTTTCTCTAATCTCAAATGAAGCGTCTACCTCCGCACCTGCGGTGCTTGGTGGCTAAGCCCCACCCTCATCCAAACCCACCCCCTCACCCCCAAACCTCCCCCACCCCCACTCGGCGCCGTCCGGTCCTACATTTCGCTTATCCCGCTTTCTTGCTGAGTGGTGGACAGTGTAACCAGCCTGGTATCAGTTATCGCCGAAGTCAATATTCACAGATTTCACCAACATTTAGAAGAATTTTAGGTTAAGAATAGTAAAACGATTCTAGTCCACCGACTGCACCGACCACCCCCCGCCGGCGCCGTGTTCCCCCCTCGCTGTGTAATTCATGGGGTCGCGGCGCGAATGGTCGCGGAGATTATTCATAGAATCTGCTTCCAGAGCAGCGCGGCGCTGCAGAGCCACGCCTTGTTTTCAGTGCGGGGCGAACACGAAAAAAAAAAAGAGAGTTGTTGCCACAAGAGGAGAAGGTAGTGGAGGAGGAGGAGAAGGAGGAGGAGGCAATGTAGGAGGCCAGCGACCGACCCCGGCCCCTCCCTAGTGCGACCCGCGGCGGTATTTCTGGTGCGGCGGGTGTCATTACCGAGCAGTCGGGGTCCCAAATGGCGGAAGGATGCTGCTCTCGATGCTGGCTGCTCCTGTCAGCGCCGTGCGTCACGTGCGAGACCGGGCGGGGCGGGGCGGCAGTTTGGTGCTCGAGCCGATGAGGTTCGACATCCTCTCCCCACGACACCTCGGCAGCGCTCCGCGCTCCGACGTCGTCAGACTGTCAATGCGGCTGATTTGCGCCGCCGACGGCGATGCCGCCACCCGCCGCCGCCGCCGCCGCGGCTGGTCACGCTCGTGGACGTGTCGCGAGTCACGCCGTGCCCGCTTCCTGTGCGCCGCGTGCTCAAGGTGCTGGCTGCTCGAAGCACTGGGTGCTCAAGGTGCTCGAGGTGCTGGGGTTGTCGAGGTGCTCGGGGTTGAAGGTGCCCGTGGCCCGTGGCTGGTCAGCTGGTGGGGCGCCTTGGAGGTAGGCAGCTAGCGAGCTGCAACGCGTATGGGTCGAGCGGGGCTGCCTACCCTCCAGGCTGAAGACGAGTCGTGGAGCTGGCGCTCAAGTGGGGTTGCTCTGTCGGGGATGCCGTTGTGCCCCACCAAAAAGGGGTAGGTTTCCGATGAGGATGAGTTTCCAGTCGATGGCTACCCCGCTGTGTCTCAGAGGTGTGTGTTGTGTAGTGTGTGTCCCCTCCTGTTGCCTCCCTCCCACTCCTCCTCCCCAACCCACGCCCCGGGCGTGGCGCCGCGAAGCGCCCCTGTTTATCGCCCAGCACGCGTCCCGGGACTCATATTCATCAGCGTGGACACTGGACACGTGGCGGGCGGGGCGCGGGGCATGGGCGGGGCGGGGTGGAACACCATGCCGGGTCACGCCCTGACACAACAGTGTGCCTGTCCCGGAGTGTTAAGGGCGGGGCGCGGGGCGGGGAGTGGTGGTTCAATAATTCAGTCGCCGTGTTATTTCAGAGGGAGCGCCCCCTACCCTTCGGGCCGGGCCCCCTCCTCACCCTCCCGGCTGCGAGCGCGCCGACGGTACCGAGGAGCCACTGCGCACTGCTGAGCCGTGCCGCGCGTGATGGCTCCAGTCTTGTCCCACCGCTTAACGAAGAGGTGAAGAAGAGCAAGAGCTTCCCTTTGGCCTGCTCGTCTGATCCAAAACCTACACTTTCCCCGAAGAAGGCGCCAGCCCGGGGGTTGTAGGATCCCGGGGGGAGGGGCTGCTTGATATGACCTCCCGCATGACGCAGAGCGAGTGCGAAAAGGGTGCTTTCACGTCCCGCCCTATCTGTTCCACAGTCATGCTTTTGATGATAATCGTTGCCCAGCAGGTCAGCTCGGCCCCGCTCCCCAACAAACACCGCTCTTTGCTGAGAGCTGCACCCCCGCAGCCGTGCTCCCTCTCGACCGCATCGTGTACCGCGCGCGCTTCGAAATTCCCGGAATGTCCGAATGACTGACATCAAGTGGAGAGTTTCAAGTCGCGGCACGTCCTCGCATTGACTTATCCGGGGGCGCGGGGCGGGGTGGGGCGGCCCCCGAACCCTCAGCGCGAGGGCGCGGCCGGGACCGGGGCCGGGGGCCACCCCTGCGGACCCTGCTGCGGCCCGGGGCCGCCGGGCTGGCTGGGAGTATTGGACAGGATTGCCACCCTCTCTCACCGCGGCCCAGAGCTGCTGCTGCCGCGGGCCGGGATCCGCCGATAACCCAAATCATTTTTAGAACCCAAGGAAAAAGGACGCAGGGCGGGGGGTGGGAGTGGATCACGCGGCACTGAGCGGAGCGCCGAGCTCCCCGGACTGCCTGCCCCTCTCTGCCAGCTGCTGGCCCCCCTGGCAGCTCTCTGCCGATCGAGGCGGAGATTTATCACATTGTTTTCGAATTCCTGCTTCGCCGGGATGAGCGTTGGGTTGTTTGCAGCCCTCGCAGGCGAGGCGCAACGCGACTGCCCCTGCCGCCGCCGCCGCCGCTCCGACTCCGACAGCCAAGGAATGGCTCGCGGCGCTGAAGGAATGAGCTGTGCAGCTGCGCGGCCGCCTCTCACCCACGCCCACTAAAGGCGGATTGTCCCGGCGCCCCTCCCAGCTCGTCCCGTCCCATGGCATGTGGAAAGGGGGTCGGCCCGGGGGGTTGGAGTTGGAGGGATGCACCCCCGACATATTTGCCGTCGCGTTCCTCACGGCTCAGGCGCCGCTCTGCTCCTCGCCAACCGACTTGCTCAGTGGATAAGATAGCAAAACACCCACAAAAGTCTGTCATCTTGATTGAAAAACGTTTGAACTTTGTACTTAAACTCTCTAGATATTTTTTTTGAATGATTTTCTTTCATTAATTTAATACGAGGTGAATCATAAGATCGGACACCTAAGTAAATTTACATTTTACATTTACATTTCAAGCCCCCCTTTGAAGTTGAGTAATAGAGCACCGGCCCTAGCCATCCTGAACGTGCTGAACCCCTTCTGCCTCGCTCCCTTCTGGTTGTGCCGCGAATGGCCCCTCGCCCCTCGTGGTTCCCGGGGGGACACCGCCCACGCAGAGCACCGCGCAGCGTGCATACAATGCGAGCCCGGGCCCAGTTTGCAGTACTGCACGCCAGTGTTTGCGCTTCCTTGACCTGAATACGTCACCTTCGTTCTCTTCCGGCCCTCCAGACCCTCCCTCGCTCTCTCTCTCTCTTCTCCTCTCTCCTCTCCCTCTCTCTCCCTCCCCTCCTACCTCTGTCTCCCTCCCGCTGGCCTTGGGCTCGGCGTCCACCTTGTACTTTATACATGAAGCCTCGGCTGCCCGTGGGCGGCGTGTCCTGTGTACTGCCGCAAAGGCCTTCATGGCTTTTGTTGACGTTCTGTCTTGCCGACCTGTGGCCGTGGCCCTGAAGGCCTGCCGCTCCTGAGCAGAAGCAGAGCAGAGATTATGGCAGATGTGACGCAGAGATAAGCAACCCCCGCTGGAGGCTAGGCGCACGGCGCCCCGAGCCCACAGGGCGTCAGCAGACCCTATAGCGGCGCCCCCAGCTCACTGCTCACTAGGTGCCAGCAGCCCCTCTACAGTTCCGCTGGAGGCTTTGGCGCCCCGAGCCCACTTGGTGTCAGCAGTCCCTACAGCCCCGCTGGAGGCGTGGCGCTGCGCCTGAGCCTCCTCCGGGCCTCCAGAGGTCAGCAGCCCCCGCGTGGCGGAGGTCCGTCCCTACCCGCGCACACACGGGCCACGTGGTGCACAAGGGAACACACCACGCTGCCCGGGCCCCGCCCGCCAGGCTGTTGGGCGTGGCTGGTATCGATCACCTAGTTCCCCAGCCTCCCGCAGGCGGGCGCGGCGGGCGCGGGCGTCGCTACCCCTAAGGGCCGCCCGGCCCGCGCCCGCTACCACCCCCAGGGCCACCACCGCCACCGCACCGCCGCCACCCACACCGGGGATTGCGCAACGAACGTTCATTGTTACTACGTTCAATGATGACCGTGGTACCAGTCGAGGTTCGAACAGAGTGTCTACGGTCCCATTCTAACCAGGATGGAGTCGAGATAGAATTTCTCTGAATTTAAACAGGAAATGTCGGCGATTGAGAAGTACCTAAGAATCAGGAAGGAAGATGTATCCTTTCCTTATGCCCGTAGTTGCGCTCTCTACTTTATTCTTCTCGAGTTAACATTATTTCAGCTGTCTCTGATCCCAACACGTCATCATAGTAAGAGCCCTACGCCCCTGAAGCCCTCAGATTAAGTCAAGTGCCGGGTGCCGGGCGCGGCCTTGCGGGACGGGGTGGGGTGGGGCGGGGCTGAGTGTAAGTGACACGAGCGGCGGGGGAATGCTTCCGCGACAAGCGCTAATTATGACGAGTCGGTGAGATGCAAGCGGGATAGGGGTGGGTCGGGCGGGTACCGACAGGGCGGAACCGGAGCGGTCGCAACCATCTGTCTGACCCGCCCCAAGGCCCAGGCCCAGGCCGATAGGGTTGGAAAGGAAGAAGGGAGGCCTAACTTCGTTGAGCCTCATTCTCTTTATCCTGACCACCACTCCCGCCCGGGTCGGCCAGCGGGCCTTGT